GAGAGAGAGGGAGGGAGGGGGAGAGAGAGAGAGAGGGTCGATAACGTAGCGCTAGGTTGGTAGCGTAGCGTCAGGTCGGTAGAGTAGGCCGTTGTCGGTAGTCTAGCGTAGCGTGTCCGTTAGGTCAGTAGCGTAGCGTCAGGTCGGTAGGTCGGTAGCGCCGTCGCTCGGCAAGGCCATTGGGCCTTCCTGTTGGGCGCGATCTTACGATCGCGTGGCGATCTGAACCGTCAGGCCTGCCGACGGCCCAGATGTTCGCGCGATCTTAAGATCGCGCGTCGATCTAGAGCGTCGAGGGGGCAGACGGTCCGAATGAGCGCGCAATCTTAAAACTTCAAGATCGCGCGCGCATCCGGACCGTCGGGCTGTCCGACGGCCCAGATCGACACGGCCCGCATGCGAGATTTCACCGCTTAGGAATCTTAATAAGTGTAGGGATGAGATCTCACCAGTTCTGGCTGGTAAACCGGGTGTCTCGATCACTAACTATTGATCTTGGTATCCCATGCTCACTTACCTATAAATCGAAAAACTTCTCAATAATGAGGTTTGTCCATGCCTTGCAGGCAAAGGTAAGAACTCTGCATACTTGCTGAATCAGTCTATTATGACCATGACTTGGCTTTTGCCATGCCTGCTCCTGACACCGGTATCCATGAAGTCAATGGAAACTGACTCTCTGTGTCCTGCGGGAGTAGGCAAGGGTGAGGAGGCCTAAGGGTGTTCGTGTAGTTATCTTGTTGCGCTGGCAAATTTACAACTGCGAATATACTTCATGTTGTCTGCCTTCATGCCGAGCCATGTATACGACATCATGAGGTTGGCTAAAGTCTTTTGGCCAGCCAAAGTGTCCTTCTGTATCATGGCATTCCCCTAAGATCAGACTACGGATCTCTTCAGTGTTGAGGACGCACAGTCTATCAACGACATTGGTCATCTCAAAGAGTAGCCCGTTCGTGGTCCGATAATTTGGCCCATTGACAAGGGTTTCTTTTACTCTCTTTAGTAGATCGCTAGAGATCGAATCCTGAGCATTTGCATCCTTTATCTTTTGCTGCAGGTCCGCCCCTATGTCCAGGTAGTGCACTATCGCTCTAATGTGATCTGCCCTTCTACTTAGAGTGTTGGCTACCATGTTGTACTTACCTTTAACGGGCTTAAGCTCGAAGTCAAACTGGTCTATCTCGGCTGCCCACCTACTGTCTTAACCCGAAAACAAGATACATACCTTGTATACGAATACAAGGTACGTACCTTGTAGAACGAATTTTAGAGTGCAACTTTCGTAGAGCGAGGGGGGAAAAAAATAAAAAATATATATAGTGAATATTAGTAATAAAAAAAAAAACGAGAGAACCCCGCACCTGTGAGTAAGCCTGTCACGGCGAGGTACTTGTGCCCTTCTTCATTTTCTTTGCTTTTGTGTAGGGCTGTCGGGGGCAAGGTCCCTATATGTCGTTTCAGCATCAGATTCGGCGCCTGAATCTGGACGCCTTTGGAGAGAGGTGCGAAGCATCTCGATTGATGTGCTACTATGCATCTCTACGGAAGATATGTCCACAATCAGGCGCCAAATGGTACAACGAAATAAAAAACTGAAAACGAAAAAAAAATAAAAAAAATTGTATTAAGACCGTCTACATACAACTCCAAGAAGTAGGCAGGTACGTTACACAAAAACTTCTTGAAAATTTTCAAAAACATTGTACGTACCTTTTCTTGCAGGTGCTTTCTCACGGTCGCGGACATGTTCTTGGACTTCGCGTGATCGTGAGAAGTGCTTGGAGAAGAAAATATTGCATTGCGCTCACGATCCCGCACGCATTCTTCTTTTTCCAAACACGACTCTGTGAGTGTGTGCGTGTGTGTATGTGTGTGTGTGTGAGAGAGAGAGAAAGAGAGAGAGCGAATAGCGACCGCGTGTAGAATCAGGCGCCTGCTGGAAAACCCATGCCACACACACACACACACACAGAGCATAGCGCCCGTGTGTGGAAGCAACGGCATGCGTAAACATCGCATGCCACACAAAGAGAGAGAGAGAGAGAGAGAGAGAGAGAGAGAGAGAGAGAGAGAGAGAGAGAGAGAGAGAGAGAGAGAGAGAGCATAGTTCCCACGTGTGGTTTCCCAGCACTAGATGACCACCACTACACCTGGGGGGGGTGGGGCTCCCATTGAGGTTGCTCATATCATATCCATACGTCGGACCTCTGCTGCCAGTGGTGTAAAATTAAAAAAAAAAAAAAAAAAAAAAAAAAAAAACTCTAAACATTTCAGACAAGGCACACCTCCAATACAAGGTACGTACCTTGTATTTGAGGGTACCTTCTATTCGAAAATTTAGCGGTGATTTCTCGGAACCCGTTTTTAGGAGGTAACTTGAATACAAGGTACGTACCTTGTTTTCGGGTTAAGACGGTAGTCAACTTGGGCATTATCTTGGCTGGCGTCTTTAGCCATCTTAGAGTTTCATGATCTGAGTAGACTTTGAAGTGTCTTCCAAGCAGGTAATGTCTCCAATGGTCTAAGGTCTACCGGAGAGCGTAGAGTTCTCTCTTGTATGTTGAGGCCGCTGTTTTTTTTTAAGGGCAACCTAGTTGACATGAACTCTATGGGTCTATAGTCGTTGTCGTCGTCTTGCTGTAACACAGCACCTATGCCATACTGACTTGCGTTTGTAGTGACTACAAAAGGCAATGAAGGCTCAACTACTTTGAGGACAGGGTACTCTACCAAGGCCTTCTTCATTTTCTTCAAGCCCGAGGTACAATCTTGATCCCACTTCCATACCGCTTCCTTCTTTAGGAGCCTACGAAGGGGGGCAGCAATAGTAGAGAAGTTCCTTACGAACTTCCTATAGTAGTTGGCCAGTCCTAAGAACCATCGCAACTCAGTTAGAGTGCGGGGAGTTGGTCATTCTCTAATCGCTGCGATCTTACCGTGCTCTGGTCTAATGTCGTCTCCATCTAATACATGGCCGAAGTGAAAGACATTTGTCTTGGCCCACTCGCACCTTTTTTTTTTTTTTTTTTTGTGAGACGATGCTCCAATCTATTCGTGGGGAGCAACACGGCTGGGAACTAGGCCCAACGTCCATTATCAGAATACAAAAATGAACTATCGGGGCCATTATCCAGCTTCGGCTAAGAACAATTAAAGAAAAAGGAAAACTGAAAAACATTCAAAAAATGTGTGTCAACAAGCCTCCCAACCACGAATCAGATAGGTGAAACCTAATCAATCCACCTTCGACCACCACCAACATGGCTGTTTTCAGCACGAACCAAAGCTCTTCAAGGCCTCGCTCCCATCAGGCTAGGTTACACAGTTGCACCACCTTGCTCCAGCACCGGCCTACACCTGTCTCTTATACACATCTAGATGTGTATAAGAGACAGACCTTGCTACAACACCGGCCAGCATTGCTCCAGTTACGACCCCCAATAACCACTGAGACTGCCCTCGCAAACAGCCCCCAAGATCTCTCTACCAGGCCTCACGCCCCCACTAAGCTAGGTGACTACACTTTAGGTGCGCCACCTGGCTCCGGCTCCGGCCAGCGTTGCTCCAGCATCGGTCTTCGAGGGCCACCGAATTTTCAACCACCCTACGCAGGATTAAAGATGACTTGCCAGATATCACCTATTCCTACAACCTMCTCGAGTGGTGAACCAAATGGAAAGAATTACTAAACTGGATGTCAAAATTCTTCGAGAGAGATCGCCCCTCCCTCCCCCTACACCTCCCCCCTCAGCCCTACACTGCCTCCGCCGAGGCGAGTCTCCCGCTCTCCCTTGGCCCCAATATACGACCAACCCACTTTCCCCAGGAGCACGCAGTTCCCAGCTAAAGCATGCCCCCCCCACCCCTTGCCCATTTCTGCCTCCGCTGGGACTGATGTTGACCCACACACCAGCCCCTGCCCCAGAATAGGGCAACCCCCAACTCCACCCCTACCTTCTTTGAGACATTCACCCCCCACCTTCTGATGCCTCTGCAAGATACAACTCCCCCCATCCCCTTCTTACCGTTTAGCCCTCCGAGAACGATCCGATCCAGCCGACTACAGTAATTAATGACACAATTACCAAAAAGTCAATCGCAATTTGGAAAAGCGGGGCCTCTTCAAAAATATGCAAGAACCCCCGAGAACACCCTACATCTTTAAGAACAACCCACTGAAGAAGGCGCACAGCAGCAGTAAGACTATTACAATTATTCCCCTGCCCCTTGCGCCAATCAACTTTTGGCAGCTCCCACCATGTGCACGTATCAACAATTTAAAAGAAGCGACAAACTAATTAACAGAGAGATTCCAAAGTTTTCGAGTTCCAAGATTAGAAAATCCTGATAGAACTTTACTTGAGACATGTAGAAATTATAGTCGAAATTCAAGGATACGTAGTTATAGAACAGATCCCTATGCTAGCGATTCAGAATGGATGATATATGTTTTTGTGTATGTGTGAACATGTAGATGAGAATACTTAACTTAGGACGCTTTTTAGATTAGAGCAAGAATATAAGAAATTAGAAGATGCAAAATTAAAATCAGCGAAATCAATTGGAAAAGGCAGCCGATGCGAAGAGCGCCACACATATTACCACAAAATTATCCTGCTCCATCGCCATTGTCATTTTTGCCCCGCTACCTGCTTCCGTGTCCTTAAAACCGATGAACCAGCTGAAATGAACGCCTAAAACCACCAGCTCTTTATGACGCTCCAGCTTATAGCAAGCCTCCCTCCTCCCACTCCGCATGAAAAAACGCTCTTTACTTTCTGCCCGCACTGCCCAACCAACCTCCATTAGATTCACGCAAGGGCAAAGGAGCAGGGTCACTACCATGCCCAAAATCTCATGAAGACTATCCTAGTCACCACGACAGCCTTCCCTTCCTCTAGCGCGCCAACCCGCGACACCACATCAACGAAGCACGAAGCAAGAGACCTCTTCAGCCTAGGTTGTCAAGGCTGGAAGAACCCTCAACCGAAGCATCTCGTTGATGGCCCCGCCAAACAAACATCGATGGAACCTCACGCCATCGCCTGCCGCCGTAACCCGCGCTGCCCACATCAACTCCTCAATATTTCCCCGCAGGGAGCCGCGCCAACGAGACGCCACCGACTCACGAACTGGCTCATGTCAATAGCGGAGCGACGCGGCACTCCCGATTGCGCCGCCTTGGCCCACCCACACTTCTTTGCATCGATCTTGAAATTCGCCTCTCTCAACTTCTCCAAGATCTACCTTAGATGGCCCGCATGTTCTTGGAGAGTCTTGCTAAAAACTAGAATATCACCTAAGTACGCTACTACGAATCTATCTAGCCACAACCTAAACAAGTCGTTCATGCAGCGCTGAAATGTGGCTGGTGCATTAGTTAGTCCAAAGGGCATCACTATGAACTCATAATGCTCGTACCTAGTCCGAAACGCCGTCTTGTGTTGCTCATCAGGATCTACTTCTATTTGACGGTACCTTGACTTCAAACCTATCTTGGTGAAGTACTTGTAGCCTTGCACCCGATCTAACAGGTCATATATGCGAGGCAACGGTTCTGCATTTTTTACGGTTATTGTGTTCAAATTCGTGTAGTCTATACACATTCTTAGCTCTCCCTCTTTCTTGGGGACAAACAAAACAGGCGCTCCGAAAAGAGATGTCCTAGGTCTAATCCACCTTTTTTCGAGGAGCTCGTCAAATTGCTTATGCGGCTCCTCCAATTCCTTGGGAGACACCCTGTAAACTGCTCCCTTAGGCACTCTTTCGCCAGGCTCTATCTCTATGCGGTGCTGAATGGGTCTTGGCACTTCTCCTGAGGGTGCCTCTGATAAATCTTTGTACTCTTTCAGCAAACTGGCGATAGTGGGATGGATCTCTTTCTCCTCCTCTAGCTGATCAGAAATTGGCTTAACATAAGCTAAGAACACGTATTCCTCAAGCTGCTCCTTTTTAATAAGTCAAGTGAATGCAAGAGCTCTGAGGCAGCAATGCGCCAGGGAGTTGGACTCCTAACGCATGGAATAGGCGGGCTTTCTTGACCCCACCTGACGGACTAGGGTGCCTGCACTCATGCTCTCTAAGGTGAAAAGTGGCCCCAACTCCATACCCCCCATTGGTACCAAGTACTATGTCCAAAGGGAGGTTCTCTTCTACGAGGCGAGTCAGGGAGTGAAGGACTTTCTCTACCTTCCCTTCCTACTCTAGGCGAAGGTACGCCTGGACTCCCTCTACGTATTCCTCGACCTGCATTGTGCGGTTGTCAGCAAGGATACTGACTACAGGCTCTTCTAACTTTTGGACCTTGAGGCCTAGCCTCAACTTCTTTAGCGCCTTACGACTGAGTAACTTCTGGTCGCCCCACCGTCTATAAAGGCCCCCACTTTAGCTCTAAAAATCTCTGTCTGCTAATAGGAGTTTCCCCTTTCCATCCTTCTTCATCTTGGCCCAGGCCTACCTCCTCAACTTCAATTATTCAACCAAGCCTGTGAGGGAAGCGCCTGGAGAGACTCTAACACAAGCAGTCTCTGGGCAGCTAGCTAGGCGCTGGCCAGCAATCTTTGCCACGGAGATACGTGGAGCGGGTGTTTTTGTCTTGCGCGCATGCTCATCTCCACATACTATAGTGGTAGGGGCAGTTGCTACCTCTACCGACGGTTGCCCTTTGCTGGCCCAGATGCGGCACGACTCCTATACTTCGGGCAGAATTTGATGATGTGCCCAAGGTCTCCACAGAACACGCACTCGTACTTGTCTACGCGGTCCCGCCAGATATTCTGCCCTATCCCCAAGGCCTCCAAGGGCCGCCCTTCGGGCCGTCCTTATTACCACGCTCCTCTTCTGGGAGGTGACCGACTGGAACTCGGGCGGTCAGACGGGGGACCTTGACCCCTTCCTCCCGCTTGGCAGTCCTTGTTGTCGCCAACCCCCTGCCCGCCCTGTCCTCAACCACCCGAGGCCTGGCCATCCTTGCCTCGACCTCATCCTCCACCTTGCGGCCCCTCTCCAGCCACGACAACATCGTAGGAACTCCCGTGCTCTACCCTATTGTCCTCCTCCTCTAGCCCCCATTTACTATATTTGTGCAGGGGACCTCTTCCGCACCACCTTCTTCCATTGTTAGTATAAGACTGTACGAATGATTAACCATGCGCCTCAGGAATAACTCTTTAGCCCCCATTTACTATATATATGAAATCAGCTTCTTTGTCTTCGCCCAAGGATAAATTAGTCACTCATTCTCTTACTGCCTTCTCCACCTCTTATGGTGGGGCACTACCGGAACTTGCTTCCCCCCCTCTCCACAACAGTCCCTCTTCTTCTTCTTCTTCTTCTTCTTCTACCTCCACAGCAGCCAACTTCGCCTCTTGCTCCTTCCATCTTTCCATCTCCTCCTCCATCTGCTTCTTCTTCCACCATTGTTAGTATAAGACTGTACGAATGATTAACCATGCGCCTCAGGAATAACTCTTTAGCCCCCATTTACTACATCTATGAAATCAGCTTCTTTGTCTTCGCCCAAGGCTAAATTAGTCACTCATTCTCTTACTGCCTTCTCCACCTCTTCTGGTGGGGCAATACTGGAACTCGCTTCCCCCCCTCTCCACAACAGTCCCTCTTCTTCTTCTTCTTCTTCTTCTTCTTCTTCTTCTTTTTCTTCTTCTTCTTCTTCCTCTTCTGCCTCCACAGCAGCCAACTTCGCCTCTTGCTCCTTCCATTTTTCCATCTCCTCCTCCATCTGCTTCTTCTTGGTTGATTCTTCTTCCACCATTGTTAGTATAAGACTGTACGAATGATTAACCATGCGCCTCAGGAATAACTCTTTAGCCCCCATTTACTACATCTATGAAATCAGCTTCTTTGTCTTCGCCCAAGGCTAAATTAGTCACTCATTCTCTTACTGCCTTCTCCACCTCTTCTGGTGGGGCAATACTGGAACTCGCTTCCCCCCCTCTCCACAACAGTCCCTCTTCTTCTTCGACTTCTTCTTCTTCTTCTTCTTCTTTTTCTTCTTCTTCTTCTTCCTCTTCTGCCTCCACAGCAGCCAACTTCGCCTCTTGCTCCTTCCATTTTTCCATCTCCTCCTCCATCTGCTTCTTCTTGGTTGCTTCTTCTTCCATTAGAGCCAATTTCTTGGCCTGTCGGATCAGCTCCTTCTTCTCCATCTTCTCCCACTTTTCGCGGAGAATTACAGCAGCGCTCTCTCCTCCTGTGCCTTGCTATACGGGGTTGTGCTAGTTCCAGTCCCACTCACCATGTTGGTAGGGGCACAATCACTGGCGATTCCACTCCTCAATACATAGACCTCACCTTTAGACTCTGACTTCTACAAGACTACAGAGGTCTCTCCTCCACTTCAGCCAGGTTACCAAATGCTTTCGCAACCACAATCACCAATCTTTCCATAGTTGCTGGATGCGCCCGCAACGACAGTCACCAATCCCACCTGGCTTCAGCTTGAGATTGACCCTTTGCCAACTATGTGATTCTAGCCTAGGCTACTGCTAGTCTGTCACTACAGGACTATTGGTTGATCAGGAGGCATTTCAAGGAGTTCCCCCATAACTCCTAAGGAATTCTTTAACGTTGCAGTCAGGACGACGATCACAGTCAAAGTCCTCTCAAGACTTAGACAGATTGGACACCCGCTCTGCAGCTCGGAGTTCAGTATAGTGTACGACCCAGAGCAACCTGCCGGTGTATAACGGTCCTTGGGGTGTTTTCCCAGGCCGTGTAGCGTAAGATACACCTCGGCCCTACTAAGTCCCGTGCAAACACTGGCTCACACCCTCCATCAGACCACATGCATGGAACCTATCGACCTATACAGGAGTGACTCGATGCAGAAAGAGATGACAGACTCTCAACAAGTATCAAGGTGAGTGTGCAGCATCCACAGGGCATCGAGGACAACGAGTAGGGCTTGAAGGGATTATACCGCTCCTCGCTCCGCGCTCCGACTTGGTCAACGGCACCGGTCAACGCTAACCGGTCAACACCGATCAACCCTGGTCAACATCGATCAACCTTGATCAACACCGGGCAACCCCAGCTATGGCAGTTTTCTTCCCCTTCACCTCTCCTTCCTCATCCTCGAGCTCGACTATGGCTGACTTCCTCTTCCGCTTCACCTTCGTCACCTCTCTCTCTCATCCACTCCTTCGTCCCACTGGTTTTCTTCTCCCTCCGAGCTTGGCGGCTATGGCATACTATCTTTGTCTTCTTCGCGGGTCCCTCTCTCTCCTTTCTTCTTTGTGTCGTGGTCTTCTTTTACGTCACAGCAGTCGGTGCGATGGCGCAAACAATGGGAACCAGCTCCAATACCAGTGCAATCAGACTTGTCTCAATTTCACTTGCAACATGCATACATGTAGGTGTCGATGGCAAAAAACTTCGTCGGCGCAGAATCAGCAATAAGCTTCTGATGGCGCATTGCGCCTACATAGAAAACTAAGAAATATGGCCTTTGGCCAGGAACCCAACTTAAGTCAACTTCCCACATCTGGCAGCTGTGGCCGCCGAGCGCTAGCCTGAATTCCTCTTGCAACACTATCTCCACCATCAGACACTCTCACGCAACTCACGCACATGCACACACACATAGGATCTACCCTGAATGTCCCACACACACACTACACTCTTTCTGTTGACGTCAGCAATTGGGCGGCTTTGGCCGCCGTTGTCTTCCTCCTCCACTAGCGGCTATGGCAGCTCGCCCTTTTCTTCGTCGGGCACCTGCAGACCTCCGATCCACAAGTCGCACAAGCAACGCTTCCCCATCGCTCACAGGCAAATGAATGAATGGCTTGGCACTGCCTCTTTATTTATATTGCATCTTTTGCAGTGAAAGTACATATGGTACCAGTTCATATTTGGTTACCTGAAGCTCATGTAGAAGCACCCACCGCTGGATCTGTTATCTTAGCGGGAATTTCGTCGGTGGTCTGGCCTGCCGCTCGCCCTCTTCTTCGTCGGGCACCTGCAGACCTCCAATGCACAAGTCGCACAAGCAGCGCTTCCGCATGGCTCGCTGGCGAATGAATGAATGGCTTGGCGCTGCCTCTTTATTTATATTGTTTCGTCGGTGGTCTGGCCTGCCTCCGGTCCTAGGCCCAAGGAGTGTGCAGCCCAACCTAGAACTTGCTGACTGGACAAGGTGGACTAGGGCAGAAACTGGGACTGGACTATACCTTGTTGACTGAGCTACGGACGACTGACTCCTACATCTCCGAAGAGCAAAGTAACGAATTCTAGAAAGCCCTAGGCTACGTTGACTGACCCTTCGCTACACTTAGGGCTAACCTATAGGACTGACCCTAGGACTGTTAAAGCTAAAACCTACGGTTCAGGTCCACACGACCCAACTAAGCACACAACACATAGACATACGTTTTTGGGGACAGGTCCCGGGTTCAAGGCACACAGGGGCGTCGGGTAGCTGTACAGGGGATTCAGGATAGGTCTAGGGATCGAACCCTGGGATCCGCAATTGTCCTTCGAACTTGGTGAGACCCTTTCACTCAGTTCACAATTAATTTAATTCAGAATTCATTCAAAATTAATTCACAATTAATTCACAACTAATTCAAAATTAATTCACATTTAATTCACAGTATGGTATGTGCAAGGAATATGAGCGACAACTATAGACAGAAATCCAAGTTGCAAAATCACGAAGTAGTCCAGAGAGCACAATGCACCAAGATTTCATCCAAACAAGAGCAATACAATGAATTGGAGTGTCAATGCCGACGCTCCCGGGTCACACCAACACTGTATCAAATGTCGCTCCTACTGTCTGGCGCCCAACGCCCAGCCTACTCTACTCTACTTATCTATCCTATCTACATTCATGCGATTGGATCACATCAAAGTCGAAGACCAATGTACATGACGTCAACACCAATGCCGACCACGAGCATACACCAGGTACGTTCTCTCTCCTCGCCTCATCACACCTTGACCCCCTCTGCATGCGCCTCCTACCCGAAGACCACCATCGCCAACACCTGCCTGCGCCCGCCCTTTGCCTCAGCAGCAGCCCTCAGCAGCATATCCGCATTGCCTGCCAAGGCCGGAATGCCTGCCAACGCCAGAATGCCGCTCGCTGCTCGCTGGCCTGGCCAGGCGTGTGGGGGCCCAGTAGCTTGCCACTGGCCCCACGTGTCTGCGCCCAGGCCCAGTTCCAGATACCGGCCTGGGCCTCGTGCAGTTAGGCACGTCCAGGCAACCATGCAGCCTCCAAGTGTTTGCAGCATTCTCACTGGCTCGCGGCCCCATGGAATCGTAGCCAAAGGGCAATTGCAAACTGTATCTTGACCCATAGTGCAATTATAACTCCATTTTGTGACTCTACTGAAGTTACCCCAGAGTTGAAAGGAAGGACGTCGGGGAAAGGCACGAAGGAGGTGTGCTCACGGTAGTGCCTCCAGGAATGCATCTGCCCAAAATCATCGATAGTTTCGTTTTTTGTTTTTTTTTGTTTTTATTTTTTTCTTCGAAGTTAATTTTAGGGCATACTCACACTAGTAGCAAAATTCACAAAAATCACAGATTCTGTGATAGTACGGGGCCACACAGCCAGAGCAGGTACGCAAATGACGCAAATGGGTACGCAAATCCTCCAGACTGCCTGGCCACGGGGGTATGCAATTTGCATCCACCTCAAGAGGTGAGCACAAATGCATTTTGGCTTTCCCAAGAGTTTACGGGAAAAAAATTAAAAAAAAATAAATCAAAAAAGCAATCCCTCTTCGTGTGTGACTTGCACAATAACGCAAATTCTGACCGGCAGAAAGTTGCGGCCGTGCCCCATATGGCACGGGCGGTAAGGTGTGACCAGCAGCCAACGCAAATATCACAAAAGCCGTAGCAAATGTCACAATTTTTTGTGAAATTTACGTCCAGTGTGAATAGGCCCTTAGCGCCCTGCCAACAAGGCAGTGCGCTTTCCACAAACAGCTAACACTTGCAACCAACGGGGCACTCTCAGATGTACTCAAGATTTTGTATCCATCTTGTGATAAGCTCAGACCCGTACCGCGCGGCTTGCCGTATCCTTGAGGAAAAATCCCAAGGAAGCCCCGAAGTACGGATGCAAACAATAAGGGGTTTTTCTTTCTTTTTACTTTTGTTTTCTTTTCGTAACGGCTTTTTCACTTTTCTTTGGTTAATAACTCCCGCGCGGACGAATAGCGGCCGCGGTATGAAAACCAAAAAACGGTTTTGGTTGGGACTTTTTGAATTTTTGCGCGCGCGCCTAAGCTCCGACTTCTTCGCGTGCCTCGCAACCCCGTTTCTTGCTTTGCATCCCCGCGCCATCTTCCTTTCTTGTTGTGCGCGTTTCCCCCATGTAGGACTCTTCGTCTTCCCCTACCCCCAGCTCGATCCCCACCCCGTCTTCCTCCGAGAGTGAATGGCCGCGTAGTTGGGATGTGCGGATCAATGTGGAAGGCGAAAAGGCACACCACTTGAACGAACACCCCAATCACGCCCGACCACGCGACTTTGAGAAACACCTCTTCCAAAACCATGCACCCTTCTTTTGTCCTGCTCGTCTACAACCGGCGTGGGCCGCACCTCGCGCTGACAACCCGCCGCCTCCCACGCTATAAATTTTCGCAACCCCCTCCTCTCCTCCTCTTTGATCTCGGCTGCAATGCTGCGCGAGCTATGCGCGAACGTCCGCGAGGCCGAACAGGCTTGACGAGCCCAAGTTACGGGCGGAGTGACGACGTGGGTCGGGCTTAGCGATAGATTTGGGGTAAGCCAGCTGGAGGGATTGAGCAGTGGTGGAGATCGGACGCCGATCACGACAGGGTCTTGTGGCTATGGTGGTCGGTGGTCCTTGGGAAGTTTGCGACTGCGCCTGAGGGCGTCAGCCAATTGGAAAATTTTGTGTACAATGAAACTCACTTTTTTCTCCATTGCTGCTCTATCTCCGTGAGATGTATGCAACGTCCCGTCGAGTGGGTAATCGGTTGTATGCATGGGAGTGAGTCGCGGTGAGATGGTCTGTGAAGGGGTGTGAGTCTGCGTATGCATGTATGTGGTCCTTGGGTATTGCGTGGGGATTGTCTGCCTGGGTGCATGATTAAGTCGGCCATCGTACTTCTTTTTCCTTTTCCCTCGTTCCCCTGTTAGTTTCGTTGCTCGATCGCGTAGGGCGAGGGCCTTCGCGTACCGAAGGGATCCCTCCCGTCCTGCGCGCTCGAGTCGAAGTCCCGCGGCGCGGATGTCTGACGTGGCGCATCGCTGTTGAGGACCGGAGACATTCGTTGTGCCCGCTGAAGGTGGTCAGCAAACGGCTCCGCCCCTCCGCTCGGACCCCTCTGGTTGCATGGTGTCAGACCCGAGAGAGAGAGAGAGAGATGTTGTCACTCTTTGTATGGAGACAGATTCCCAATCAAGCACGGGTTCTCGCCCGTGCACTTGCCCCGACTCCGCGCGTCGCAGTGCACTCCCGATTTTCCCCATCGTCGACGACGACAGCGTCTACTGCGACGCGGACGTACGGAGTGCCCTACGACGCACGTAGCAGCTTCACTGGCGCAACCCTGAACGGGCTTGCCACATCGCGGGGGAAGGGTTTGTACTGATAGACCGCTTTTCTTCCCCGCCCCTTATACTGCCTTACACCGACCTGACAGTGCTCCCCTGGTCTGCGGCTTGCGCCGCGTGGCGCCCCCAGTTTGGTTGCCGTTGGTGCCAGCAGGGGGACTCCTGCTCGTGGCGAAGGCTGGTTCTGGGGTACGAAGGAGCCGTCCGGTTCCCTGAACTCTCCCGGGACGCCGGAGCTCTCCCTGCCCGTTTCCGTACCTCGACTGCGGCGACAGCCCCCGCCCGCTGAGTTCCCACGGTCGTGAGTCCCCGAGGCCTCGACGAACCCGACGACGAGGATTGAGAATCTGCACGGGGGAATCCATCGCCCCTTGCCGAACAAGCCCGGCGAGGAATAGATCCTCCGTCCCTCTCCTTTTTCCCCAGCTAGAGAAACTGGGTCGGACCCGTCCGTTCACCCCGTTCTCCTCCCCCTTTGTTTTTGGTAATCCTGACCAAGGATCGAGCCCCAGTCGGGGGAAACCTATCGGCCCCGAAACGAGAGACTCCCATTCCTACCGGGAGACTCACGCCCCCCCCATGGCCAAAAATCCTCGGCCACGCCCCCTTCTACTCTGATCAGCGACCCAGTACGGAAAGCCGCGACGGGGCGTGAGGTTGCACATCACAAGCTGCTTTTACGTCGAAATAGCTGTTGCTAAAAAACAAAACATTTGGGCTTTGTGGGCCCGATCAGAGAAAAAAAAAGAAACAAAAAGGGGAAACTATGTGGGAGTCACAAAAATGAGTTATAATTGCACTATGGGCCAAGATACAGTTTCGAACTGCAGTTCCGGCAATGTATACACCCAGTTTTCTGGCCAGGTAGGGTGCCCAAAGTGCAATTGCAAACTGTATCTTGCCCCATAGTGCAATTGTTAACTCCATTCTGTGACTCTACTGAAGTTACCCCAGAGTTTGAAGGAAAAGACCTCGGGTAAAGCCATGAAGGAGGTGTGCACACAGTAGTGCCTCCAGGAATGCACCTGCCCATAATCATTGATAGTTTCGTTTGTTGTTTTTTTTTGTTTTTTTATTTTTTCTTGGAAGTTAGTTTTAGTGCCCTGCCAACAAGGCAGGGGGCTTTCCACGGACAGCTGACACTTAACGCCCGTTGGAAGGGCTTATTCTTAGTTGTGCCCAATGTTCTGTATCCAGCTGCTTTCACGTCCAAAGAGTTGTTGCTTTTCTTTTTCCTATTGCCATGTTTTGCTGAGGGCAGTCACACCCTTTGGCAGACTCTCACATGTACCCAATGTTCTGTATACAGCCGCTTTCACGTCCCTAACGTCTTTGCTTTTTTCCTCTCACGTGTACCCAATGTTCTGTATACATTTCTTTTTTGAAGTTTTTCCTTTTCTTTGGCTTTTCTTTGGCTGTTCTATTTTGAAGTTTTTCCTTTTCTTTGGCTGTTCTTTTTTTTTCCCAATGGGGTACCAGAAAAGAGAACACAATGGGACCCAGGCTCAGCAAAACTCGGTGCGCAGTGAAATTCAGGGTTGGCAAAAACAGGCTCAGAGGTAGTGGTGGTTATAATAAAAAAAAAAAAAACCAGCCTTCCCCAATTGTACCAATACGTATCAGCATAGCATAGCATAGGCATATTCCCTTCTTCTTTTTTTCCCAACGGGTACCAGCAAAGAGAGTACGATGGGACCCAGGGTCAGCAAAACTTGGTGCGCAGTGAAATTCAGGGTTGGCAAAAACAGGCTCGGAGGTAGTGGTGTTTAAAAACAAAAAACAAAAAAAAAACTTCCCCAATTGTATGAATACGTATCAATAGGGCCTTGCTCCACCACTAACCAAAAGTGAAAAATGAGAATGAATGTTTCCGTAAAACATCCCCAAACGAGGAGCCATATTCAGCGGCCACCAAGGGGCAAAACGAGAAGGAATATTTCTGTAGAACAAGGAAAGATACACGGCCATTATTTTTCACTTTTGTGCATATGGTGAGTGGTGGAGAGCAAGGGCCATATCCTACCAAAAGAAAGGCAGTCCTACTACAACCATCTTCACCCAAATAGAATGCACGGGGACCAATCCCCAGGGCACACTAAACAGTGCTCAACACCAAATAGCTGCAAGTATGCAGGGAATAGCTTTAGAGCCTCTACCACGAGGCATCTGACTAAAAAAGTCCCAGTGGTCCGTTGCCGCTCCCTCCTGGCCCCCTCTTCCCTCTTTCTGCTGCCCTCCTACTGCGGAGATAGAACCGAGCGACCAGGTACTCCACTCCCCTATAAGCGGACTAATCACACAGAAAAAAGCCAAAAAGCAAAAGGGAATATTTTGTCGTGCCCCTCAAATTTGAGTTTATTTGCATCGCGCCACTTTGAAGGCAGACTTACCCTGTCGTGGCCCTGGCCCCTGTGAACTTTTCTGCAGACCCCTGCCAGCGAGGGGTGCAATTTTCCGGGACGCCCTTCCTGGACCCATTCCGGTTTGCAGCTATCCGGTAAGGGGGGCATGCGAAAAAAATTGAAACCGGCACCAGTAGGGGCATAACGAAAATATTCGAGGCCCAACCTCCGCCACGGTTTTATCAGAATCAGAAATTTGAATGGTGCTCAGAGGGGCGTGATGCAGAGGAGGCACAGGGATTGGTCCTGTTGGCATGGTCCCTGATGCTACCGGCTGTCCCCTAGCCGGTATCGCCCACCTGCAGGTCGGGAGCAGCCCCTGCATGTTCTCTCGTGATCGTGAACACGGTTGTGGCTGCTACGGGGTTCCCCATATGCCTACAATTAGGAGTAGTGGTAGGTAGGTAGTGTGAGGTGAAATTGAGAGAAGAATATAAACCACGAGTACCTTTGCCACTTGGGAAAATAGGGGGCCTCGGGTAGGCGTCCGACCTTTTCAGAGGCCGAAACGAAACGACGGCCGCCGATCAGATTTATCAATGGCAGGCGTCGTTGAGCCCAACCTCCGAATATTCAGGAGTTTGGGAAAACTGCCAGTTTTCCCTATTATACCACGCGGGAAAAAAATAAATAAATAAAAAATGGCACGACAAAAAGGAGTTTTTCCCAAAACAAAAAGGTGAAAATCATTTTGGCAAATATTGTGAAAAACAATGCGAGAATGGTTTTCATTTGGACATGTGTCGACATTTGGCAAAGAGAGTCTTTCGGGTCAGTTAAAATTGGAACGATACAGAGAAGATTAGCATGGCCCCTGCGCAAGGATGACATTTGGCAAAGAGATTCGATGTTACCTACTTTGGAAAGTGAATCTGGACGCTGTCCCAGGAGAATGAATGGAAACAAGCACCACCCAAATTTCACTGGCAAAAACCCGCAGACACTTTTCTTTCTTTTCTGCCCGAGGCTGGATTACAACGGACGGGGGCCAAGTGCCTCTAGCAGCGTTGAGTTTCCTCGATGTCCGAACATGTTTTTGTGGAGACGTGCGGTTGAGGAAACTCAACATCATTTCCTGTACATCTCCACAAGCAC